AATGATTAGTACCTTTTTGAGTTTATTTCTTTGTTTTGTTGTTTTTAATTATTTACAACCAGTGAAAACAGTTAGCAAGGCTGCCAAACACAAGATGAACACAGAAAACTAGTGATACTAAACAATAGCAACAAATAATTTAAAATGTCATTTTCAGAAGAAACAATTATTAATAGCAACACAATTAGAATATAACTTGAAAATAATCTCAAAAAATACGTGAAGTGTCTTTTCCACGACAATTATAAAATTGTGTCTGGGTTGCTCAGTTGGTTAAGTGTCTGCCTTTGGCTTAGGTCATGATCCAGGATCTTGGGATCAAGCCCCACATGGGCTCTTTGCTCAACCGGGATCCTGTTTCTTCCCTGACCGCTATTCCCCTGCTTATGCGTGCTCCCTCCCTCTCTCTCTCTCTTTGTCTGAAATAAATAAATAAAATCTTAAAAAAAAATTATAAAACCTAATTTAACAATACATGAGAAGTTGTAAGTGGAGAAATATGCCATCCTTATAAATGGAAAGACAATAAATTGGCCTGTAAGTTCAATGCAACTCCAATGAAAATGTCACAAAGCTTATCTGTGGTAGAGGCCAGTCGGTCCTTACAGTCACATGGAAAAGAAAGGGTCAGGTTTGTCAAGATAATTTTGAAGAAGAAAAAGGATAGATGTCAAAACCCCACAGATGTTGGATTAAGAGGTACAAATTTTCACCTATAAAACAAATAAGTCACAAAGATGAAAAGTATAGCACTGGGAATATAGTCCATAATACTGTGATAACTGTGTGGCTACAGATGGTGACTACACTTATTGTGGTCAGTAAGAATACTATACAGAATGTCGAATCACTATATTGTACACCTAAAACTAATTTAACATTGTACGTCAACTCTATTTCAATTAAAAAACAAACAAACAGATGTCAAACATTTTCAAACTAGGTGACCTGAGACGGCCCCAAGGACACTTACGGTTTTCTATTTCATTTATGGGCTAAAGAAATAGTGTGGAGAACGGGGTGGGAAAGATGATACTGATGACAAAAAGACACAAGTTCCTCATCCACTTTAAATCAAAGTGACCCTGAATCTCAGACGCAGGTTTTCTGACTCATGAAGTCAAAAGCTATTTTCAAAAGAAGCTCTTGCAAGACCGGGGCCTGGCTGAAGGAAAACAATTCTAAGTTTTCAATCAACCAGCTGGCATGCACTAATCATCTGATAAGTGTCTAAAAAAAAAGGAGTTAGATGATAAAATTGTAAGCACACCACCCTGGGTAGAGGCAGAAGTCACACACGAAGTAACTGAAGAACTAACTTTTAAAAGCAACATATTATCAGGGCGCCTGGGTGGCTCAGTGGGTTAAGCCTCTGCCTTCGGCTCAGGTCATGATCCCAGAGTCCTGGGATTGAGCCCCACATCGGGCTCTCTGCCCAGCAGGGAGCCTGCTTCTCCCTCTCTGTCTGCCTCTCTGCCTACTTCTGCCTACTTGTGATTTCTCTCTCTGTCAAATAAATAAATAAATCTTTAAAAATAAATAAATAAATAATAAATAAATAAGAGCAACATATTATTAAGTGTAGTCAAGTACAAACTAGAAATAAACAAGAAAATGCTAAGAGCTGTTTGCGGGGCAGGGTTTGAGAACCGCAGGCAGATAGGCTCAGGGACATATTGTAAAATGGACCTGGCAAGTATGTGGCTATAGAAGGAGTCACTGTGTTTGAATGCGGCCACTCTTCTGCCACAGGTCCACTGTCACTCTCGCATTTTAGTAGGACAGCACCAGAACTGTCATTCTGAGCTACCCATTGCATCTAAATTCCATCAAATCATGACAAACTTACCAAGATGTGTCTTCAAAATCTGTCTTCTATAAGAAATTAGCTAATGATCTTGTCTAAGATTTAAGAAACTGGTGCGCCTGTCTTCCTACTTGTTCTCTTACTTGTGCATCTTATGATGTTGCAGTTGGCTAGGAATTTCTTCTCCCTGGGGACCCTTTATTCTGGGCCTTAGATCATTCATAACTATTGCTTGTGAGGTCCTGAGCACCCACATGGAGGAAGAAACAGAGGTTAATACCTGGTGGAGGATGTGCTTCCTCTCATTGAGAAGCTTGTTGTTTATAGAATGGTGAGTCCCAGAAGGACCTGAAAATATCCGTGAGATCCTAATGTTCCCTCACAGGAGTGTTACCTACATTATGCATCATTAGAACAGACATGGACCCACTAGAGCTTTCTAAACCATTTATATCACACTGGCTCATAGAACTAACTTAATATATCCAGTGACCAAGATTCCAACTGCAAGCACCTCAGTTGGGTGTTGGCTCATGCATATTCCAACCAAGAGGTAATGTACCATAAAATGCATATCGACAAGTCTCTAATGATTAAGGCAACCACAAAAAATCTCATTACTTAAAAGAAATTAAACTCACTGTGGTTTATATAGCAATATTCCTCATCCATGTCCAACCGACATCAGATAGTTCGCATGCCAGTCACAGTTAAATTTAATTTGCTATAATCCTGGTAAATGGGAGGTAATCAACAAGTCCTCAGCTCCAGCTCCGAAGCAGCACAGAAGACATTTCTGAAATACATTAATAAAGAGTGGATGGGGAGAAGGCTTCCTGACAATAAGTAACATTTGTTATGTACCAATAATGCTTCCTGGGTTCTGGTATTCTATTTATTAGAATTAAAATATGTACACAGTTTAAGAGATTTGTCTGATGTTTGTTATTTCTTTTGTTTTCCTTGCACAGTTACAAAAATTGAGATTAAAACCATCATTTCTTGAATGTGCTATTCTAAATCCTTAGTTTACTGCAGGCCAGCCTCACAACAAACCCCTGAGAAATTATTCTGCTTGCCACTTTGTAGCTAAGGAAACTGAGGCAAAAGAAGTCATATGCTGTCCAAAGTCTCACAACTAATCAAAGGCAAAGATTCCAGAGCCCAACCTCTTACTTATTCACTGCTCCCCTAGTTGTAGACACTTTTCGTATGATTGTTCATTAATATGTGGATAGGTGGATAGCTCAAAAATTGCTAAAGAAAGTCTTGGGATTCTGGTTGGAAATGGAGGACTAGGACTCTTGCTTGAAGAAATATTTCAATAGCAAAATTTCTATCTTCACTAGATGCAAGTTACTATTTTCACTAGATGGCCTATTTGGGCTGACTCACAGAGTCTGGAGGAGATAAGGGTTAAATCCCTCCCAAGCCATCCTTTGGTGCTGCTAATATGGATCATATTACTATGTATTTAGTAATATGAACCAAATTTTCAGAACCAAATTTTTTCTTTGGTTCCCTGAAGAAGGGTTATCTGTCCTATTTCACACCTCAACTATAAAATGTTATACATATAAGTACTATGGATCACATTACTAAGCCATAATTACTTTTGCCCTATTTTTTGTTTTTGGCTCTGATTCACTGAAAAACATACAAGCTACTGCTTGTGCACAATGCCTAAATAATTGGTTACACATGCGGGGAAACATTCACATCCACTAGCCACAAAACATCACATGTAGAGACCCACTTTAATTATCTATCTTATTCCTCATGGTGACACAGAATTTAGAAAACACAGTTGTTCTGAAGTTGATATTGCACAAAACCGAAAACTTGTTGGAGACTAAGGATATTATTCTGTATATAGGCAAATTTTTGACATACAAAAAACTGTTTTTGGCACTTTACTCCTTCCCCAAGCACTTAACCCAAATCTCAGTTTTACTCTAAACTGGGTTTGTTAGTATTATCTCCTATAGGTGTTACCTGAGAAGAGCTGTTATTAACTTAGCAGCAGCCTCATGTCCTCAGGTCTCAATGGGCTTTGAAACTGCACAGAACTGGAGAACGGTATCTGTACCCTAGATAGGATGGGAGAATTGAACACAATTCTTTCCCTAGGCTAAGGAGCACAGTACCAGACATACAACAGGAACTAGATAAATGGTAGTTATTTGGTGCTATAAGAGTATATGGCACGGACTGGGTAAAGTGTCTAATTCTGCAGAGGGCAGAGGTTTGAGGGAGTCATTTGTGTATTTATTCTTCCTTTTTTTCCTCAGTGAGTGATAAAAATGTGCTGTATGATTTTTAATGTGAAAAATGTTAAGTGCCATTCATCTGCAGCGTGAATATATACCCTTGTAGACCGAAGGCTAAAAAGCCCCAACTCGTTCACACTGTGCAACTAACACGACGTTTAAAAGTGCGAAAATCAAGATTACGAAAATGTTTACAAGGTAAAGACGACAGACTTGCGGTGACTACGTATTGTGGAAAAAGGAAATTACCTAACCAGACTTGGGGTGGAGTCACAGCTCACTTAATTGTGTCATAAGGAAAAAATAAATCCATTTATTCAACACACACTTGTTGAGCGCCCGCTCCCTGCCAAGCACAAACAAAACCATTCGCAACTACCAACTGGGCTTTCTCGGAGCGGGCAGCCCTCGCCACTAAAAACAGCACTACCTCGGCTAACGTCTTACACAACATTTTCAAGAATCACGTCAGGGAACAAAGGGACGGAGCAAGTTTGGCCCGCCCCCTTCCACAGGCTTCGCGCGTTCACGTAATGGCAAATCGAAAACTCCAACACCAAGCTACGGGGTCTCACGAGGAAACGAAAACGGAGCAGCAACTTCTTCCGCCCACGTAAAAGATGGCGCTTGACGCGTCAACCATCCCTGCTGCCCGGTTGCTTCCCTTCGGGGGCGGGGTCCAGAGAGAGCAGGAGGCGTGTGCTTAGGAGGTGTGCGCTTTTGTTTTCCTCACCTTTTGTCCCCTCCCTTGCTGTCGTAGTAGTCATTGAAGGTGATGGGCGAAAGATTGGGTAAAATGTACCCTGAAGAAAAGTACCAAGCGTGAAACAACCGAGGCGTAAAGCGGATTCGGGGTCTGGACGCGCGCTAGGGGCCGGGACCGGGGGCGGGGCGAGGGGTGGGGCGGGGCGGTGGCCGGGCTGCGGTTGCGGTCCCTGCGCCTGCGGCGCCTGAGTGGCAGGCGGTGGCGACTGGGTGAGTGAGAAGCCGGCGGGCAGGCGACTGCTTGGGGTCGGGGTACAGGGACCGTGCGAGGGCCGCGGCGGTGGCAGCAGCTCTCCCCAGGGCTCGGCTTGTGCTCCCAGACCGAAATCCGGCATCGGGTTTTCCAGCTGGTGACTAGTAGTTGTCTCCATCCGGGCCCCCGGCTTCCCGGCGGCGGCGGCGGCACGGAGACCAGGGGCTGGGGACTGGGCCTCTGGCCCTCATTCCGCCCTCGGTCCACGAGCCGGCCGCTTCCCGGGGACTCGGTGTGAGACCCAGACCGACCCGTCGGACCACCTGCGCCGCGGGTTCAGGGGAAAGCGCCTCGAGCACTGAGAAGCCTGCCTCTGGGGAAGGCCAGAGGGCGGGTGGGGCGCGGTGAACCCCAAGCCCGGGTCTGAGCGGAGATAAAGCCGGGTGGAATCGCACGGGAAGGTGGGGGGAGATACCACATGGCTACACAATTTGAAAGCAGGTTTCTAAAGATTGCCCATTCTCTGTGAATTTGAGGAGCAGTTCTAGATGGGTCCCACTGTGTGGGTCCTGACTTGATTGCTTCACGGCAGTGAGGTTACACATAAAGGAAGTGACCATTATGACTTGAGCATCACTGGACTGATAGTATCTGCTGCCGAAAGAAGTGCACTGATTACACGTCTGACATGCCCACACGGCATATGAATCACCCCCTGCCCTGCCAGGCGACAGTGTACAGGAGACAGACGGAGGTCATGCATTTGCCCAAGAGAGATGACCCTTTTCAGAAACAATGGAGATTGCTAGGCCTTAGAAAAGTAACGGTGCCTGTGGCCAGTGGATAAGTTCCGATAGACTGTTCCATCCCTCACCTGTGATGAAAAGTAAGGGGACACAACACGTCTGGCTGTACATTTAATTTATACTTTTAATTTGAAAAATACTGTTTGATACCATCTTTAACAGACTTTAGGAAACTTTCAACATATTGGGAACCTTACAGAAGCGAGAATATATGGAAGATTAATAATATGGAGTCAGAATACTTGAAATATGATGGTGTTATGTGACACAGATACCTTTGGCCAGCACCTCAGCCAAACCCTGCCACTCTGGGAAAGCCCTGAATTAGTTGGAAATCGCCTCATGACTGACTACTCTTTATACATCTAAAACAAAAATGAGAGAAGTTCTGGACCACATTGCTTATTGGGCGCAAAGCCAGCACTAACCTGTTCCAGGAAAGTTACATAGGTATTAAAAAGATTTTTTTTTTCTCTCTTTATAAAGTTGATAAAATAGTCTCTTTATTTGGCTCCGTGAGGAGTCCAAAATTTGCTTTCGAAGAAAAAGCAAAAAACAAAAAAACAATGAGGACTCCTAGCTTTCAAGCCTGCCCTTGGGCTCTGTTAATTAAGTAGTTCTAAGGAGTAGTGTGTGTTAGCCTGCCTATTATGTGAGAAACTTGGATCAGTGAGAGACTAACAGTGATATAAATTTCATCTGCGAATTTTGATAAAAACTTAGAAAATGTTGCAAACAGTCTGGTGTTAACAGTTCACTGTCATTAAAGTTGGCCTGGGCAACGTCTGTTTTTGGAAAGTGGGCTGGCTTAGGACCCTGCTGCTTTTAGGGCTGGGAGAAAATAAACAGAAAGCATGGTTACAAGAATTGTGAGCTTTATGATGTCTGAATTCTGATTTACAACAGCAGTGGACCAATCAACTTTCTAAATACCAGTGGGAGAAGAGATGCTAGTTTTTAGCAAAGGTTTAAGAAAAAGCAAAGCTTTGAACCTTATACTCTGCTAACAGTTTTAACAGCTAGTAATTAATATAATCTTTAATGTCTGCATATGTTGGATTATTTTCAGAAAGTATATTGGGTATATCCTCATGAACCCTATTCTTTGTTTACAGGAGTGGAAAGCCACCGTGTCACCCAATTTGGATCCTGGCTTCCCTCAAAAGACTCTTATGGCTAATGTTTGATAACCTGGAGTAGCCAACTACTGTAGATATATAGATAAGACTATTGGTTTTGACCTGAATTTTTTTCAGTCATATTTATGTATATGGATTTTCCTCACCAAAGATGATGAGTTTAAGTGTTAGTAAAATTATTTTTACAGCTCTCCTAATTATACTTCTCTGTAACATTTCATTTCTCAAAATTATTAATTTTGGAAGAATTTTAACCTAAGCAGTTCAACATGCTTGTCTTTTGTTTTCTTTCTAATGATAATAGCAATGAATATAAATGTAATTAATGGTCTGTAATAGTTTAATTTTCACAGTTTAAAATTTTCCCATAATCCAACCAGATTTTCCCATAATCCAAACCAGATTTTTCGGTTTGGTTTTAGGAAATGCTTTTATTTCCAGCATAATGATGAAATGTTTGAGTTAAAATATTGTTCTTACGATTATTCACCTTTTTTATCCAAAAAGGAAGAACAAAAGGAAAATGTTACAATATCATTTTGTGGCTGTGTGTTAACTCATCTCCTTGCCCCCAGTTTGTTATTAATGACAATGGCATCATTACAGTTTGAATTCAAATTACATTCCTGTTTTCTATCTTGTAAACTGTTCAAGTTTTATTCAGAACAGTGGATAATTAAATAAGCTAGAGAGTTTATGTCCAGGATAGTACTTTTAAGACTATTATGTTGATACAACACATTAAAAAGTAAATATTCCCTAAATGAATTCTTGAACTAGAAAATACATACGTTAAGTCATTTCAACTTTACGTTAAGTCATTTCAACACGTGCATACTATAAAGTGTTTTGCCAAGTTCTGTATACCTATTCTTGACATGCATGATAAAAATGCTTTTCTGATACTCTAAAAATAGAAGCCACTGCTTTTCAGCAGTCTCTGAACTCTCTTGACAAGATGTAGATAAAATTCGTTAAGTAAATGAATTGTAGTTAAAGAGCAAATGTTGCCTCCCAAAGCAATCCCATAGGCAAAGATAGGTATATCATAATTCACCTATAAATTGCTGCCCTTTATCATTACAATGAATAGATTCCCCAATTTTAGACTTGCTTTAATGTAATTGTTATGGTTCTTTTCACTTTAGGCCTTTCAATACACGTATTCAATTTTTTAAAACATTTTATTTTTAAGTAATCTCTATACCCAGTGGGGGGCTCAAACCCACAACCCCAGGATCCAGTAACATGCTTCACTGACTGAGCCAGCCAGGCGCCCCTCAATTTTAATATTAGGCAAGAATGATACATTTTACACTAATATCACAAAGAGTATATACTTTAGAGTGTTAAGATTTCAGTGGGTTAAAATTTATAGGAGACCTTGATTCTTGCTTGACTCTGTGACCTTGGGCAGTTAGCTTTTCTCTCCATGTCTATTTTCTTAGCAGAGTGGAAGGCTTTTACCAATATCCATTCAGTCACTTTGTTCTTTACATTTCTACATTTCTAAATAACTGAAGCTTTTTAGTTTAGCCATTTAGTATAGAACTCTTTGTAATGAACTTTTTACTGCTGCACTGCTTTCTTAAATTTAAGAAGCATATTAAACATATTTATCTTCATCTTGATGTTTCAGTGTTATTTCAGACACCAGTCTTGGGCTTTAGTGTCCTGAAACCCAGAGAGCTTGTTGAGAATAACAGTACTGTTACCTCATTTTTTATTATGGCTCCCGCTTATTGCGTCTTTGCAATTTTTTGTCTTTTTTTTCTTCCTGTCTTTTTTTTTTTTTTTAAGATTTTTATTTATTTGACAGACAGATCAGAAGTAGGCAGAGAGAGAGAGAGGAGGAGGAGGCAGGCTCCCTGCTGAGCAGAGAGCCCGATGGGAGGCTCGATCCCAGGACCCCGGGATCATGACCTGAGCCAAAGGCAGAGGCTTTAACCACTGAGCCACCCAGGCGCCCCTCTTCCTGTCTTTCTTTCTCTCTTCTTTTACTTTTTTCTTTTCCTTTACTTTTTCCCCCCCCCCCCCACCCCGCCACTACCACCTTTTAACAGTTTTAAGGTGTTCGTACTGTCAGGTGTCTTTACTAGTTTCTTAGGACTGCTATAACAAAGGACCACAAACAGTGATGTAAAACAACAAAAATTTGTTCTCTCACAGTTTTGAAAACTAGAAGTCCAAAATAAGGTATCCGTAGGGACATGCTTCTCTGAAAACTATAAGGAAGACTCTTCCTTATCTCTTAACTCACAGTAGGTATCAGCAGTGTTTGGCTTTCCTTTGTAGTCCTATCACTCTAATTCCTATCTCTGTCTTTGCATAGCCCTGTTTCCTCTTTGTCCATGTGTCTCTAAATCTTTCATAAGGACGCCAGTCCTTGAACTAGGATCCACCCTTATCCAGTATGACCCCATCTTAATTCGAATATACCTATTTTCAAATAAGGTCACATTCATAAATTCAAAGGGTTAGAACTTGAACATATATTTAGTGGGGGGAGGGGGCATAGTTCAACCCACCACAGGTATGGTGGTCTCTAGCTGAGTTCTCCCTTTCCCAATTTGCTCTCTTTATTGCTGTGGTTTAGGAACCAAATATCCAATCATTTTATTGCACATAGACTGGATATTTGGGGACAGTGAGGGTCTAATCTATGAGCTTTAGTATATGATATTTCATATTAATGTTCAAAGACCTTTTTTTGGATCATCATTACTTTGGATTTCCAAGTATATTCCCTGAATATAGGTGACAAGTTACTATGTATCATAAGATTATCATTGTATTAACAAGTATTTAGTGTGCACCTGCCATGGTAGTCAAATGTCTATTCTAGTAGGGGACGCATTTCCAAATCTTTTTTTTTTTTTTTTTTTTTTAGTTTTTTTTATTTATCTGACACAGAGAGGAATCACAAGTAAGCAGAGCGCAGGCAAAGAAAGTGGGGGGAAGCTGGCTCCCCGCTGAGCAGAGAGCCTGATGGGAGGCTCAATCCCAGGACCCTGAGATCATGACCTGGGCCCAAGGCAGAGGCCTAACCCACTGAGCCACCCAGGCACCTCTCCAAATCCTTTTTGACTGAAGAAAAGAGCCACATAGGCCCAAGTCTTTTGAATTTCTGATGTATGACTTTACAATTGCTGAACCTAATCATTGGTTTTGTATGTTATTGTTTAGATATCCCTGGAGCATTTGGATAATACGGTAAATGGGATGCAGTGATGTCGAATCTCTGTCCACCACCATCTCCAGCTGTTGCCAAGACAGAGATTGCTCTAAGTGGTGAATCACCTTTATTAGCAGCTACTTTTGCTTACTGGGACAATATTCTTGGTCCTAGAGTTAGACACATTTGGGCTCCAAAGACAGAACAGCTACTTCTCAGCGATGGAGAAATAACTTTTCTTGCCAACCACACCTTAAATGGAGAAATCCTCCGAAATGCAGAGAGTGGGGCTATAGATGTGAAGTTTTTTGTCTTGTCTGAAAAAGGAGTAATTATTGTTTCGTTAATCTTTGATGGAAACTGGAATGGAGATAGGAGCACGTACGGTCTATCAATTATACTTCCACAGACAGAACTCAGCTTCTACCTCCCACTTCACAGAGTATGTGTTGATAGATTAACACACATTATCAGGAAAGGAAGGATATGGATGCACAAGGTGAGTGGTTTTTGAGCTTATTAATCATGCTAACCTAGCCATTGAAAATTTATCTTCTGATGCATTTATATCTAATTTTTAGAAATTACACGCGCTTAACTTCATATAGTAGCTCTTACTTGGATCTGCCCTATTAGATAGTTCTAGTAGTCTGATGTCAGTGATCTTCATAATAACCCTTGAAGGTAGGAGATGATAGTTCTATGGTACAAGTAAAAGCTAAAGCTTAGAGAACTTGAGAACATTGTAGTAAACTTTAGAGTCTAGGTTTGTCTTGGAAATGTTTAACTATAAAACCTTTTCTCTTTTTGCATTGCATGACCCTGTTTTTCACTTGATACTGTGTGTAGGTACAAGCAGTTCAAAACAAGAGTTTCATAAGCAGTTGGCCATGTAGCCTTTGGTCTCTTTAACTTCTTTGCCAAGTTCTGAAAATTGTAAAATGAGGAGGTTGCACGAAGTAGTTTCTAGGAGATGTTCCTTTTAATTTTGTAGGTCAAGCCAGAGGAAATTACTCTCCTCCCCTAAATGCTATAGTTTATTTAGTGATATTTATATTTTCATGTACTTTTGGCAGACATGAAGAACAAATTTAACTCTCCTTTCTGCTTTACAGTTTTGATACTAGTATCAAACTAGTACAGTTTTGATACTAGTTAAATAGCTATTAGTTGTGTAAGGCTTTTATTCCTAGTAAGGAGGAGTAGTATCTTTGAGAAGAAGAGTGTTTTACTATGTTTGCATACTGTGTTTTCTTTCTTTTTTTTTTTTTTTAAGATTTTATTTATTTATTTGACAGACAAAGATCGCAAGTAGGCAGAGAGGCAGATAGGGGGTTGGGGGGGAAGCAGGCTCCCTGCTGAGCAGAGTGTCCAGTGACCTATGCAGGGCTTGATCCCAGGACCCTGAGATCATGACTTGAGCCAAAGGCAGAGGCTTAACCCACTGAGCCACCCAGGCACCCTGTTTTTTTATTTTAAATGTTTATGAAAATCATTTTAAATCAGGAAGGCCCAGATACATATAACTTGATCTTCCTTAATTTGAAAAGTACAAACCATTAGTTTCCTTTGTGAAACCATGCACACATGTTACATTGACTGTTTTCTGATAAGTTATCTTTTTTTTACCTGCAGAGAAAAGGGTGTTTTTATTTTATTTTGTATTGTTTATAAGAAAACGGATTTGTTGGATTAATATCCTGCCTCCTCCCTTTTTTTTTCTGCCCTAATGTGGAAAATATTTTTCCCATGAACTGAATTACACAATAACATGTCTGCCACTTAACTACATTGTGAAAAATAAACAAATATCACAGTGTTTTGTTTTGTTAATTTTAATGAATTTTCTCTTGCTCAGGAAAGGCAAGAAAATGTGCAGAAGATAGTCTTAGAAGGCACGGAAAGAATGGAAGATCAGGTAAGGTACAGACTGCGTACTATCAAATACCACCAAACTCACGTCATGCATCTATATAAGAGTGAGGGCTAATTTTCTTACTGCCTTGAAGCTGTACCAATCCTATTTTGACAGAGTCAGTATGAAAATGAACAGAACCTTTATGGAAATATATGGAATAAACTGGATGAAAATTTTCATATCTTAGACACAGTTAAATAAGTGAATAATAGCAATTTTTTTAAAAGATTTTATTTATTTATTTATTTGTCAGAGAGAGAGAGAGAGAGCGAGAGCGAGCGAGCACACAAGCAGGCAGAGAGGCAGGCAGAGGCAGAGAGAGAAGCAGGCTCCCTGCCAAACAAGGAGCCCGATGTGGGACTCGATCCCAGGACCCTGGGATCATGCCCTGAGCTGAAGGCAGCAGCTTAGCCCACTGAGCCACCCAGGCATCCCAAATAATAGCCATTTTGCTACCTTTTTTTTTTTCCTGTTTGCCCAGAATATGTTTTAAATAACTGGTTCATATCATAGTAAAAATTTTAAGATTTATATGAGATTTTTTTTTTAAGGCATTGCTTCTTAAACATTTCCATAGACATAGTTATAATAGGAGGGAAGTGAGTATACTCCTCTAAGATAGCTGGGGAAACAGACAGTTCTAAGCATGATATTTACTTGAAGTCTCATGCTGGATTTTTAAAACTCATGATTTATATTTTAGTTATTTTTTATCTATTTAATGTTGCAGTTTACCGGTGATATTCCTCACCTTTCTGATCAGCCTTCTGGTTATGTGAAGTCTCTAGGGAAACATGCCATGTTTTCCCATGGCTTTATATCTCCTTAGGGCATGGGCACCAGCATCTGAGATGCATGATTGCATGAATGTGGTTTCCCTTGTGGAAATTAAATATGAACCATTTCACTGCAGGGGAGAGATGTCCTGAAGGGGGATCTCCAGTGGAGAAAGAGTTCTTTGCCTTAACTCCCATTGCCTCTGGCCACCCTCAGTATTTCTTGTGTTGAACTCTAGTCTAAGGATGACTGGGTTGTCTTTACTCTGGTTCTCCTATAGCATGCCCAAGACAAAATAGTACTTTAAACAGTAACTGTTCTAAAAATTTGTGAATATACAGAACTTAAACCAGGAAAATACAAAACCCTATAAAATGACTTCCTTTACAAAATTGTTATTATATCTGTATTTTTGTAAATAACTTTCCAGGCCAGAGGAGGTAATCCTGGGGAAACGTCTGACACTTACCAGAAAAGCTTTCCCTTTACCCACAGATGCCTGGCCTTGTTGGTTGATGAGCAGAGTGCCAAGTATTGGGGGTACTTTTACCAACTAATTATGGAGTAGTTAGTAGAATTACCTAATGATAAAGAAATTTAAGACCCAGTAAAATTCTGTTTTTCCTGGGACTTTTTTTTTTTTTTTTTCAAACCAGACCTGTACTTAAAAAATTTACCACTCTTAAGTTTTATTTCTGTTTTAAGGGCTCTTCTTGAAAATGTTATCATCTTCCTTCTGTATATTTAGACAAACTGGAGGTTTTTAAAGGGGAAGCATTCTTCTGCTAAGAAGTTCAAGTTAGAGAAGTCACAGGAGGAAAAGAAACCTGGATTTTCTTTTTGAGTTTCTTCTGTGTTCACACTTGTAGTCGTTCTTTTGTTAAGCTTTGATGAGGATATGCATTCAGTTACAATAAATATCTGAGATACAGTTTATGGCACTACATATATGCCTAAACCTAGGGGAAGATGTTTTCCTACAGTTATCCTTTCTGCAAAGAAGCTGCCTGATAATTGAATCCTTGCAAATTTCATATCATGTGCATGATTTTATTTTGAACAAGTAAATACTATTTGGGGATGACATACTAGTCTGGAATCAGTCACTGACTTCATTCAGTGCAAGTTTTGGATGCTTGTAGCTATCATCTGATAAAATCACTTTATAAGGAAATCACTTTATAGCTAGTCATTATTGTTGAATTGCATGTGTTGATTATAATTGTGAGCAAGCATTTAAAAAATTCTTTTAAAGAGCAGAAACAGTGAGTGGTTATGTTTGGAGGTTACTACAGGATGAATTTTTTTAAAATAATGAAACCTTCTATATGATGCAAGGAGGCTTATGACTTGGCATAAAATTTCCACAGACAGCATCACATTTAAATTCCAAGTTTCTGAAAAACTAGTTACTCAAAAAATGACTCTAGGAATGACTGAGATTTAAAGACACATGTGAAAAGTTTGAACAAAATAGTTTTGTGAGAGATGAGTGAGGAAAAAAACTATTATTGGATTATTCTTAATATGTGATTTTAAAAACATGTTTAGCTAAAAAGTAACAGATTATGTGACAAGTTTGTCATCTCTCTTTAAGAGTTTACATATTCAGGATGGTTCAAAAATTTGGGGGCGGGGTGATGGTAATGACTAAATGAGAGATCACCCATCTTTGAGACACTCTGTATCTGTGATGTTCTATATTGAGGTTTCAGTTTCATTCTAGACACTACAAATTTCAAAATTGTATTTTTGATGTATGTTTTATTGATGCTTACGATATATGTGATTTTGATTTGCATCTGGGTACTAACGCTTATTGTGAATATATTGACTCAAGCTTTACTATTGAGTTATTTGCTGACTACTTCTAAGATTTTTTATGGTTGGTTTTCCTTTTTTTTAAATATAAAATGCATCAATAAGAATTTTTTATATCTCAAATAATTATCAAAGCAAATCCTTTCTAAATTTGGCATGGTAATTTAATTATTGCTGGATTGGTAAGTGATAAGCCAATGATTCCACTCTGACTAAAGAAAATCATTCCTGGAAGAGTGAAAGTTAGTTTGAAATAGTTTGTACATCCTTTAGAAACGTTTTGAAGTAGTAGACTTATTTGGGGCTGTGTTTTAACAAATTATCAGGTATTTCTATCAAAGGATGTTGTTCTTTGTTTTCAGCTCTTACTCTTTTATTGCCCCATTTATCCTAGACAGGTTTTTCCCCACTCTCCAAAAATAGAGCGTTCCTATAAAAACATGTTATACACTGAAATGGCCATAAAGAAGTGGTCACCATTAATTTATATGGAGAAGTTTTTGAGTGTTCCCAGACCCAAAAAATAACCCCCTTAGGCATCTCTGATACCTTAGAACACATCCTACTAATGGATGCACAAAAAAATCAAGCTAATGCACAGATGCTCACAGACACCGTCCAAAGTCAAGGAAGCTTGATGCTGAGATGCTGAGCGGAGTTCCCGGGGCAGGAGCTCAGCCAGGCCGCCCTTGGACTCAGGCTATGTGCCACCTTCTGTAATGGGTCCTTCAAAACAAATGCTCGACACTGTTTTAGCTTTTCACCTTTTTTTGGTAAAAGCAGAAATCCTCTTCAGATTTCTTTTGGTTACTGAAAACAGGTCTTTCATAAAAGCAAAGTGGTGTAACTTGAGCTTTCAGAAAGCCAGGGATACCTTCATTGTGTAGTTTTCTTCACTTCATTTTGCTTTTTTGTACAGGGTCAGAGTATTATTCCAATGCTTACTGGTGAAGTAATTCCTGTAATGGAACTGCTTTCATCTATGAAATCACACAGTGTTCCTGAAGAAATAGATGTAAGTTCTTTCTTATATTATTAAATAGGAATAATGGTACCTCTTATCACTTCTCTTGAGTTATATTACTGTTAGGTATATTAGTAGTATTCTAATTTTAGTAGTATACATTTTTTGTCGTATATACTGTTCATATAAAGTATCAGCCACTTTAGCAAACACACATAAAACCCTGAGTTTTATAGTCAAACAGAGGCTTTTTTTTTGGTCAGTGATAGTTGTGGCAGAATTACATTTATTTAGTTTTATTTCACTACTTTTGTATTTCTTAGAAGTAAGAGAATTCCAGACCTTATAAAGCAATCAGTATTTAGTGCAGTACTTTTTGTAACAAAGCAGTATTCCATTCAGTGGTGGTTAGCACAAGTTTATTGACATTCACTAATCTAGTTTTCTTAATCATTTGTTGGCATTTTGAATCACACACTCTGTGTGTGTAGAGAAATCTTTAGGAAAATCATTCTTGTTTCTTTCTGACTTTGTCATTAAGATTAGTCTCCTGATTCTGACAGCCCAGAAGAGGAAGTTGTTCTTGTCAAAATTATTGCTTAACCTGCCTGACCGGTTTTCACATTTGTTCTTCTGAAAGTTTATAGAGTGCACAGAGGTTGTTTTATTGGGATTCTTGATGCTTTAGAAATGAGGTCAATGTGTCATATTAAACCCAGACTTCAGAAAACTTGTGTATTTAAGAGTGTTATTTCAATGCTGTAGTATAGCCAGAATAACTTTGTTATTGTTGTTTTTGTATGTTTTAGATAGCTGACACAGTTCTCAATGATGATGATATTGGTGACAGCTGTCATGAAGGCTTTCTTCTCAAGTAAGGATTTTGTTTCTTTTTGTAAGAGATGGATAAAGCAGGTAGAAATCTTAGGCTCACCTATGACACGATTTGGAAGGATGAAAACAATAAGAGACTAGCTACCCAAATTATTCTAGGAACAATATTGCATATTTAAACTATTACTTAGCTTTGTGTTATTTTTTCATTTATTACATGTCTGTGATACCTTTGATGTTACTCTTTTAACGTTTAAGGAAGCTGAGTTTCCACAGTGTCCCAGCAAGAAATCTTGGTCTCTTGTTTGGTTCTGGTTTCTTACTTTACTTCTCATTAAAGCTGAAACTAAAACTGAAGGGAGTTCTTTGACCCACTTTCAGCGTCGAGGGGGTTCCCTACAAACAATGCTCTAGATACAAAGTCGGTGTCCTACAATTTAATTCAGTTCTGACACTCTCTGCCTGGAGATAGTGTCAGATTCCATAGATTAAGGGTTCGGTCCCACAAGACTGTGTCCCCTGACACCAGTTGACTGACTGGCAACAGTTTGAACATCCCAGCCATCCCCTCCTTGGACTTCAGACACCAGAAACAAGTCCAGGTTATTACCTGGACTTCTTACCAATTGGCTGTAAATCAGGTTCCTACAGCCCCCTCCTTGGCTTCCATTCATTTGCTAGAGCAGCTCACAGGACTCAAACATTTCATTTACTTGATTATTATAAACAATAGAATCTAAGATGCAGATGAACATCCAGATGGAAGAGATGCCTATGACAAGGTCTGAGACAAGAGTGAAGTGCTTCCGTACTCTCTCCAGGCATACCACTCTCCCCAGATCCCCTTGTTCACTAACCCAGAAGCTCTCCAAACTCTTTCCTTTTAGGTTTTCATGGAGGCTTCATTTCATAGGCCTAATTGATTAAATCATTGGCCATTGGAGATAACCTCCAGCCCCTTCTCCTTCCCACAAGTTAAGGGGAGGGACTGAAAGTTCTAACCCTTGTCACATGGTTGGCTCCACCGGCAATCAGTCTCCATCCTTATGTGCTTTCCCAAAGTTGCCTCATTAACATAACACAAGGCATCTCTATCATTTCCTACACTTGGGAAATTCCAAGGGTTTTGGGAACTGTGGGTGAAGGCCATATATATATTTCTTAAAATCACAATATCACAGAACCCTTACAAATTAAATTCCGTTTGTATGGAATTAAGTTATTTAGGCCTAGGAAAGAAAATTATTTGTATTTTTACTGATCCTTCTCTCTTTCAACAGATTTTAGTACTTTAGAGTGTGGGCCCTGAAACCAGACTCCCTGGGTTATTGCTCTGTGAACCTGGGCAAGCTACCTGAAGTCTCTGTGCCCCCATTTCCTCATGTGTAAAATAGGAATAATAATAGTACCTACTTCATATGATTTGTTGTAAGAATTGAGTGAGATAAATCATATTAAGCATAAAAACAGCGCCTATAACATATAAGTACATAATAGCTGACATTTTCTATTTCTCTTTCTTTGAAGGAAAATGTAGTAACAATAATAATAGCCCAAATTTATCAGGTGCCTGTGAGTCAGTCTCTATACTAAGTGCTCTCTCTGCATGTATAATCTCATCTTCTACCTTAGTGTTTCTTTACAATTAAAGAATATTGTGAAATTTTATTTTTTTCAATGAGAAGTGAAAGAATAAAGTATTTGCTTCTTATGTCCATAGTGTTTTTCTCAGAGAATCTCAGAGACGTGAGTGTTTTTAACCTAGAAGCCTTACATAGCTTGACTCAGAAGCACTTCAGTGCTGATTCTGCCGGCTGTCAGCCATTCATATAATTACTTTTAATCCCATTTGATTTTAAATAAATTACTTAACCTCTCTACACCTCAGTTTCTTTCACTATAAAATGGTAATATTTTACTAACTAGGTTTTAAGTTCAAATGGGAGAATCTCTATGAAAAGGCCCGAGGAAAATGTGAAGTACTATAGGAAATAAGAGATGGCATTTTTCTTGTAGCTTGGCATTCATCAAGCTAGTCTGTTGTTTGAAGTTCACTTGCCCTTTTTTGTTTGTTTGTTTTAGTTTGTGACTTTTTTACTGCCAGTGTTTTTCATCTTTTTCCTTCTCCTTGCAGTGCCATCAGCTCACACTTGCAAACCTGTGGCTGTTCTGTCGTCGTAGGTAGCAGTGCAGAAAAAGTAAATAAGGTAATTTATTTTATAATCTGACCAATAATCTGACTTCTTAATGCTGCTAACATATCATGGATTGTAATTTAAAATTTAGCTTGCAGTCAAGACAATCAAATAGTATAAGGAGGTAATACAGTCTGGCCAAATTACTGTGTGACACCCTATGACAAAAATAAGTTGAACTGCTTAAATAGGAAATCATTTATCCATTTCATTTTGATAATTCATAAATATTATACAGTTCTCAGTATTGAATAGTTTTGAGAATTTCTTAAAATAAGGTATTTTTAGAAAATACTTGTCTTCTGTTTTCTGACATCACTTTTAATAAATAGGATAATAACCGTGTACCTTTTTTTTAAGAGGCTCAGTTGGTTAAGTGGCTCAGTTGGTTAAGCAACTGCCTTGGGCTCAGGTCATGATCCTGCAGTCCCAGGATTGAGTCCCGCATCAGACTCCCTGATCAGCAGAGAGTCTGCTTCCCCCTCGGACCCTCCCCCTTCTCATGCTCCCTCTCTCATTCTTTCTCTCTCAAATAAATAAATAAATAAATAAATTTTTAAAAAGGGGATTTTATTTATTCATTTGAGAGAGAGAGCCAGCACAAGCAGGGGGAGGGCCAGAGGGAGAGGGAAGCAGAATCTTTCCAAGCATTAGGCAAAAACTAAGGGATTTTGTACTTTTCTTCACTGATTGTTAATTAGAAAGAGATAAGTTGCACATATCTATCAATTTAAGCAAACCTGATTTTTCTTTTTTATGTTTTACACAGGAATTATCTTAGGAATGATTATGTCCTTGACAAATTCATTCGTATTTTTTTCCTTTAATAAGCTGCCCTGTATGCTTGCCTGATCCTTAATTTACCAAAATTACATTTTTCATACATCCATTTATGAGAGGTTAGTGTACCTCTTACTTTATTGGTCTGGCAATTTATTATTATATTTGTTACCCCAAGAAGGTAGGTTTCTATCTTTGTCACCCAGAGCCTTTGGATTCCATAGAAGGACTTCCCAGTAGCTTTTTGAAAGAAGGTGGCTCTGTGGTTGGGGCTCTCTGTTTTTATTTTTTTATTTTTTAACTTTTTTAAGATTTTATTTTTTGAGACAGCCTGAGAGAGAGACTGAGCACACAAGGAAGGGCAGAGGGAGAAGCAGACTCCCCGCTGGGCAGGGAGCCTGATGTGGGGCTCCATCGCAGGACCCTGGGATCATGACCTGAGCCAGTAGACACTTAAAAAAGGCAGACGTTTAAGAAGGCAGACACTGGGTGCCTGGGTAGCTCAATGGGTTAAAGCCTCTGCCTTTGGCTCAGGTCGTGATCCCAGGGTCCTGGGATGGAGCCCCACATCGGGCTCTCTGCTCAGCAGGGAGCCTGCTCCCACCACCCCCCCCCCCCCCCCCCCCCCCCGCCTCTCTGCCTACTTGTGATCTCTTCCTGTCAAATAAATGATTAAAATCTTTAAAAAAGGGGCACCTGGGTGGCTCAGTGGGTTAAAGCCTCTGCCTTCGGCTCAGGTCATGATCCCAGGGTCCTGGGATGGAGCCCTGCGTCGGGCTCTCTGCTCAGCAGGGAGACTGCTTCCCTCTCTCTCTCTGCCTGCCTCTCTGCCTACTTGTGATCTCTCTCTCCCTGTCAAATAAATAAAAAAGTAAAAATCTGAAAAAAAAAAAAAAAAAAAGGCAGACGCTTAACTGACTGAGTCACTCAGGCGCCCTGAGGGGTTTTCTGTTTTTAAAACACTTTTTTCATCCCACATCCTCTTCTGGCATAATTGCTTGTTTTTTATTTTTTTAATATGAAAAGGTTGCCATCACTCTATAATGAAAAACTGTCTGAACATAGTCTGAATTCCAACATACTTACATGGCTTTTTACTTTTTCTAATAGAGCTATAGATCAAATCCTATTTCCAAGCCCCAACAAATGGCTTGCTTATTTTAAATCAAATTTGATAGAATTAATTCTCATTCTATTGGAGGATTTGGAGACTCCTAATATTCATTATAATGGGATTTCACCATTCAACAGGAGACATAATTCTGCCTAAATTAACTGCATTTAGTTTTCTTGTCCAGAATTGTTTATTTGAAAAATAGTTTCTACTCTGTGGAGATAAAATCAATAATTAAGTCATTAGTTCTTAGTGAGATAAGGGTTCCGTGGTCAAATATGTTGAATATAGTATGCATGTTATATCGGTCATCTGGAAGGTCACAATACGTATTCAAACACTAAAGGTTTTGAAATATCATACAGTACATTTACCAGCATTTCCCGAACTTACTTGACCACAGAATTCCTATTTTAAGCAACAACTGTGATGTCCTATGGACTCCTGAAGGTGACTAAGGAATACTTTCTTCTCAGGATGTATTTTATTGACAATAATAGTTGAAGTTTCTATTCACATTTCTTTCATAAGCAAACCAGTGGCCCTTAACTCCCTATTTTAATTCTAAAATATTTTCTTTTACAGATAGTGAGAACATTATGCCTTTTTCTGACTCCAGCCGAGAGAAAATGTTCCAGATTATGTGAAGCAGAATCATCATTTAAGTACGAGTCAGGGCTCTTTGTACAAGGCCTGCTAAAGGTATAGCTTCCATTTGTCAAACTGTGGGAGGCCACGGTAAGGCTTGAGATGAGGACCAAAGCATGCCCTGACTTGTGCCTCCTTTAAAGGCGGAATAGCCAAACAAAAGGCTTAGGCGATAAAGTCGAGCAGCACTGACAAAGGGTCTGTGCTATGTGTTGCGCACTCGCCTACGTGACATCCCACACGTTTGCTAGTCAGATAGAAACGATTTGGTCGGGGTCAGAAATTCTTGGCTGGTTCTTGCTGTCCTTGCACGGGCTATAGACTACACCCCTGTAAGACTGTGCTGTGCTTACATAAACTATGTCTTGGGTGGCCTTGAAGTCAGTACATCTGGCGCTAGAGGGTCTGCTATTGGTGCTTGGGAAATAGATAATGGGAAAGCTTGAAGGATTTTCTGTGTATCTTTCTGTGCATCTGTGCATCTTGCAAACTCTTTATTAATCAGCTAAAAATAGATACTTTCTTATGATTGTTTCTGTTAGCTATATATAATGCCTCTCAGCCTTGAATAAAATTGGCACTATTGGACATCCTCCTTGGTGCTCCTCCTGCCCCCATCTCTTTGTCTCTTAATTTCTTTTCAGCATCCTCTTACCCTCTCGACCCTGGTCGATTTGTCGCACCGGCCGCGACACAAACTGAAAGCAACTTTTTAAAATCATTTTTAACACTCTATAAATATATTTGGAGTGTTAGCATGTAGTACATCTCATGTTTATATGCCAAGGAACTGAGCACTGAGTATATGTCTTACAGATTTATAATTAGTATGAGTAAAACATCTTAGAGTATCTTTTTGTGTGTTTCTCTTTGGTTTCCTATAGCTGCCTGTCTGACCTCAGGATTATTTGTTTTTTAATATGTGCTTGAATCAAGTGTACATCCAAAATGGGTACTTTTTTTTTTAACTGAAAAGAATTTGAATTTTCATTAGCATTTTTTGTTTATATACTGTATTCATTTATTGAAAGAAAATTTTAAACTGCTTCCTGTCTTCAAGAACTGTGTATAGAATTTGAACAATTCACATGTGTGTATTTTTTAATTATTTAAAAAAAATTTTTTATTTACTTGAGTCTGCTTTTCTTTTTCTTTTTCTTTTTTTTTTTAATGCCAGTATAGGTAACATACAGCATTATGTTAATTTCAGGTGTACAATATAGTGATCCTACAATTCTATACATTACTCAGTGCTCATCATGATTAGTGTACTCTTTAATCCTCACTCCCTATATTATACCCCCATATACCTCCCCTCTAGTAACTATCATTTTATTCTCTATAGTTAAGAGTCTGTTTCTAGAGGTACCTGGGTGGCTCAGTGGGTTAAGCCTCTGCCTTTGGCTCAGGTCATGATCTCAGGGTCCTGGGATTGAGCTCCGTGTCAGGCTCTCTGCTCAGTGGGGAGCCTGCTTCCCCTTCTCTCTCTGCCTGCTTCTCTGCCTTCTTGTGATCTCTATCTCTCTGTCAAATAAATAAATAATATCTTTTAAAAAAAAAAAAAGATTTAAAAAAAAGAGTCTGCTTTTAGGTTTGTCTGGATTTGGGGGGGTGTTTATTTTTCTTAAATTCCACATATGGGTGAAATCATATGGTACTTGTCTTTCTCTGACTAATTGAGTCCACTTTTCAGGGAGCAAAGCAGATATGTGTAAATTAGCAATTATTTTCAGTAATTACAGGGAAGACTCTTTACTGAATCTTTCATTGATATTTCAATTACAGTCAAAAGATGTGAGAAAGTAGATTTCCTAATGGTTATGTGATTCATCGTGAATGCTTTCTTAAGGATCTAGGCATAGCAAAGTGAAAAAAAATATATTAAAAAGTGTTGCAAATAAAAATTATATTCAGCTTTTGCATTTTCAGTATTGTGCATGCTCTGAGCTTAGAATAATGTTTAAATATTTAAATACAGAAACTACTTAAGGGAAACTCATTTCCAGTTTGTATTGTACAAATATGAAAATTAGAATTTCTTTTTATCAAAGACATAATAAGGTACTTAATACTTTCATTTCCTCAGCACCCTCTTATTTAATTATGTAATTTTATCCGTGAAAAGGACCTCTATGAGATGCATAGAGGAAGACTTGAAGCTATAATTTAATGAAAAAGCATTTAGCAGTTTTCTGTACATGTATAAATTGTTAAGCCTTTCAGAAAATACTTTACCGTTATATGTCAGGAGCCTTAAAAATGTTCAGACATTTAACCCACTATCTCTACTTCTGGAAATCCATCCTAGGGAAACAATTGTATAAGGGGAAAGACTGATTTATAAAATGTCTATTACAGCATTAAAAGAGTAAAGAATTGAAACTAGTCTCTCTTGTATTCGTAACCAATACCACCATGCTTCATAAACAGTAGATACTTCTTACATGGTATTTAACTACCTAAATGACAATACCTGGAAAGAAGTCCATTTTTTACTTATAAAAATACATATTCATTGAGATTTAAAAAAACATGTGAATAATCAAGAAGAAAATAAAAAGTTCCCCATAATCTCATAGTCCAATGAATAACCACTGTTGGCATGTATTTGGCATATATCTTTCTCATCTTTCTATTCTGTATGTATCTTTGACACATCTCCCTGCCCCCTCCACATATATTAACCTCCATTTTCCACAATATGTTATGAAAATCTTTCTATATCAATATATAAACTTCAAATTAATTTTTTTTTAAGATTTTATTTATTTGACAGACAGAGATCACAAGTAGGCAGAGAGGCAGGCAGAGAGAGAGGAAGGGAAGCAGGCTCCCCACTAAGCAGAGAGCCCAATGCGGGGCTCGATCCCAGGACCCTGAGATCATGACCTGAGCCGAAGGCAGCGGCTTTAACCCACTGAGCCACCCAGGCGCCCCTTCAAATTAATTTTTAGCAAGTGAACAAAAAATATTTTCATTTATTTAAGCACTTTTTTTTTTTTTTTTTTTTTTGCTGCTTAGCTTATTTTCTAGTGTTTTACTGTTTAAACCAATGCTATAGTGCACATATCACTAAAACTTTTGCACACGATCATGACTAATTTCCTGGAATAAACTTCTAGAGATGGACTTGGGAAAGCCAGTTTTTCTAATTAAAAAATAATTCTTCGGGGCTCCTGGGTGGCTCAGTGGGTAAGGCCTCTGCCTTCAGCTTGGGTCGTGGTCTCAGGGTCCTGGGATTGAGCCCCACGTCGGGCTCTCTTCTCAGCGGGGAGCCTGCTTCCTCCCTCTCTCTCTGCTGCCTCTCTATCTCCTTGTGATCTCTCTGTCAAATAAATAAAATCTTTAAAAATAATAATAATAATTCTTCATATCTTTTGGCATATAAGAGAGTAAATTTTCTTTTCATTATGACAGGATTCAACTGGAAGCTTTGTGCTCCCCTTCCGGCAAGTCATGTATGCTCCCTATCCCACCACGCACATAGATGTGGACGTCAATACTGTCAAGCAGATGCCACCATGTCACGAACATATTTATAATCAGCGTAGATACATGAGGTCTGAGCTGACAGCGTTCTGGAGAGCCACTTCAGAAGAAGACATGGCTCAGGATACTATTATCTGTACAGACGAAAGCTTCACTCCAGATCTGTATGTAATGATAACTGTTGTTAAACAGTGTTATGAAATTGTACCTTTTATGAGTAAAAACAAAAGCCTGTGTTTGAAAGGAAGGAAATACTACTAAGAGAATTATGCTCAAAGAAATAATTTGGTTAAGCATGGCCTTTTTTTCCTTAGATGTCTATTTTTCTTAATATAATTATGTTTTGCAGAGATAAGTTAGATTAGTCCCTAAAAGTAAATATTCAAGTAGTTACATAACAAATATACATTGAGGCCCTAGGCATGGTAATAGGTGCTAGTAAGGTTGGACTCTCTAATACAGAGACCCTACACTTACATTGTCTACAGTCTAGTATATAGAGCCATTAAAAGGCTTGTTATCTAAACCAAAGAAATAATTCTGAGCCTTTTTTTTCTTGATATGTGAATACAACAGAATTGTGAAAATACATTTATAGAGCATTCTTTTATTTGCATTTTATATTGTGTTTTTCATTTTTTTTATTCATAAAGTCTGATCAGTAAATTAAATAAAGAACAAGTAATGATAAAATGTTGAAAGTGGACCCAGTTAGAGGGGGTGAAAATTATAAAAAGAATTATAAAACCCAAACCAAATACTTTTAGGTTCTAAATCAGGAGAAGAAATGCAGTATATCCTGATGGTTCTCTTTAATCAATTTAGAGTGTCCAGCGCATATTATGTGCTCAATAAATGTTAACTGTTGCTAATCCTTGTTTGAGTGTATAAAGCAGCAGTAAAATTGGAGCAAGCAACCTTGTCCTGTTTTTGTGAAAAACATTGGAAGCTGAGCCAGGGGACATGCAGAGCATCACTAGTCACACAGAAGATGTTGCCCGAAAGCATAGAAAAGGAACATCCCGTCCGCGGGATCCCCAGCCTCACATGTCTCTAAGTCAAGAAAGAATGCATCGTTAGGACCATCTTTTTCCAGCTCTCCACTGTTTTTGTGGGTTCCATGAAAAGCGTGGAGGAAATTAGTTTAGGAAATGAATTAGTCAAAACCGGAATTCTGGTTTGTATCTGGGTGACAGATTTTTCAAGTATTGGTAATTGTGGTACATGTGTAGGAATTCTCAAAACTAATCATGCTTTCAAGCATTTTCTTCTTTCCTGAAGTGTTTAGTATTTTCTCCCCTTTTTGTGGTTACTTCAGAGCTCATTCTTGGGGAATTTAGTGAACTCTAGAATGGATTTACCATCTAGTAATTTTATTTTTATTTTTTTAGAAGAGGTATGTGTATGCTTTTAGCATTTCTTACTCATTTTAACCAGTTGTTTGATTGCTTCACTGATTTGACAGACTTTGATTAGCCAGCTAGTCTTCTTTTACTGATGATAAAAAAAATAAGGTCATCAATTTTTAAAACTTATTTACAACTCCAAAGTAAATTTTCTGAACATGAAATTGTCCAAAGTAAATTTTCTGAACATGAAATTGTCCAAAATTGTCCAAAATAATCTACCATTAGATTGTATATTAAATTTACATATTACAGATCTATTTTACTTTTTAGTTTTCTTTAAGCAATATTATTTATTTTTAAGATAGTTTTTAACTTTAACTTCTAAAAATAGTCTCACTCACTGCCACTACATGAAAAGTGAGTCACTGGAAATAAACTTTTTTAATGCTTCACTTCATCTGATTCACTGATGACAGAGACAGTGAAAAGGAGTGCTGCCAGCTAGTAATCATGCATTGCTGAATTTTTTTTTCATCAGTTTCCTTCTGTAATTTGGTACACCCATCTCCTAGAGTAGGAAATTTTAGGTACTTTCCTATTTCTCTATGCACATACCCCTCTTTGTTTGCCTTTCTTGTCAGTTCAGTGATGATCCCTACCATTTTCAGTGAAAAATTGCTTACCTTATGGTGTGTTAGAGATACATTATCTCTAGGGTGTATTATATTATGTCTTAATTTCTTATTCTGATCATTGCCAAGGTAGATAACACTTTCCTGAGTAGTTAGTTCATGTTACTTGCCTGGTGATAGGTTTGTTGATACAACTCAGTGGTCACGATGTTCCTTAATCCCACTTGAATATTTCTTAGCATTTAGCCTTTTATCTTTTTCTTCCTGAACAGTGTATTACAAGTTACTATAACATAAGTTAACCTTTTGTTTTGGGTTTTGCTGGTAATGGTGTTTATTTTTCTTGTTGTTTTATTTTTTTTGAGATGGCAGGAATTAGTAATCATACTTATTCTCTAAGGCTCTCAACATTTTTTTATAAGGTGACGGTTCAAAGGTAGATTGATAGGGACTTATGTGCCATTCTTGGGACTGTTTATATCTTAAAGAGAAAAATAATGACATAGTGGCTTGACAAACTCCAGTAAAACACAAGTGTATCCTTGAGTTAAAATGAGTATATATTTATTATTTCCAAATATATTTAGGTTTATATACATATATATATATACACACACATACAATTTTCATAAATATGTTTATATGTAATATTTCATTTCTAAGAATTTAATTTATTGGCTGGAGTGAGGGATTTTGGAAAGTAGCCATTTCAACATTTGGGCTGTTTTCTTCATAGGAATATTTTTCAAGATGTCTTACACAGAGACACCTTAGTAAAAGCCTTCCTGGATCAGGTAAATGTTAAACCTGAGATTGTCAAAATGAATGATATGATATGTTTTCTAATGTATACTACATTGCATTTCTACATTTCTAATGTATACTACATTTCTAATGTATACTACGTTATATATGTAACATAATAGAATTAAGTCATTTTTTTAAGTCATCTTTTTGTAATGTTTCAGGTCTTTCTAAAGTGTCTACATGCTGTTTCTTTTGAATTGGTTTTTTTTTTTTTTTTAAGATTTTATTTATTTATTTGACAGAGAGAGATCACAAGTAGATGGAGAGGCAGGCAGAGAGAGAGAGAGAGGGAAGCAGGCTCCCTGCTGAGCAGAGAGCCCGATGCGGGACTCGATCCGAGGAACCTGAGATCATGACCTGAGCCGAAGGCAGCGGCCCAACCCACTGAGCCACCCAGGCGCCCCATGCTGTTTCTTTTGAATTGTTAATGGGTGTAGCCTATATATTAACAATGAAAGTTGCAATATATCCTAGTCAAATAATGTTTTAATTCCAACCACTAACTTATTGCTCTTTTGGGGAAGGGAGAATATTTTTTGAGCCAAAATATCTTAATTGAGCCAAATATCTTTAAAACAGTATACTCATACTGAAATAATAACATCGCTATTGTCTCATTCTTTTGAAAAATATCTATTTAACACTTGAAGAAAATTATACATTATATGGGACTTATTTCTTATTATATCAGCTTTGTCATAATATTCTGGGGACCAGGCCAGGAAGCAGTATAATCGAGGTAGCTTTGAAATGATGAGGTCCTTAGATTAACTCACAATTTTAGATCCAGGTCTGTGTGGTCTGTGACATATTGCATAGTTCAGGGATTATGCATAGTCATGCAATTAATGCCATGCTTCTCAAGCCGAGTAAAAGCATTCTACCACTGCACATGTACCCTTATCCCCAATGGTAGAGAGAAAAGAATATCTCAAAACCTTGGTCTATAAGCATGGTTCAACTTTTGGGAGCTTCAGTTTTGTTTGGAGATGTGGGCAGAAAAAGTTAAATATGAAATGAAACAAATGAAAGTAAATAACAACATGATTTTTTTTTAAAGATTTTATTTATTTATTTGACAGAGAGACACAGTGAGAGAGGGAACACAAGGAGCTCCCAGCTGAGCAGGGAGCCCGATGCAGGGCTTGATCCCAGGACCCCGGGATCATGACCTAAGCCAAAGGCAGATGCTTAATGACTGAGCCACCTGGGCGCCCCTGCATCATGTTTTTTTTTAATATTTTGTTTATTTATTTGAGAGATACAGAGATCGCACAAGCCAAGGGAGGGGCAGAGGGAGAAGCAGGGGACCTGACATGGGGCTCAATCCCAGGACCCTGGGTTCATGACCTGAGCGGAAGGCAGCTTCTTAACCAGCTGAGCCACCCAGGTACCCTATGTCAGGATTCTTTTTTTTTTTTTAAGATTTTTTACTTATTTATTTGACAGACAGAGATCACAAATAGGCAGAGAGGCAGACAGAGAGAGAGAGGGAAGCAGGCTTCCCGCCGAGCAGAGAGCCTGATGCGGGGCTCAATCCCAGGACCCTGGCCATGACCTAGCCAAAGGCAGAGGCTTTAACCCACTGAGCCACCCAGGCGCCGCCCCCCATGTCATGATTCTTAATAATAAAGTAAATAGGGATGTGTTCTGAGGTAGAATGCAAAATTTGAGTTCATTTTCAAAGATAAAATAGACGACTTCAGAAAAACGTGATTGCTCTAGATAGACTCTACTTCCTGTTGGGGCATCAGGGCAAATGGTTGTGGAGAACTACTCTAATGTGTGTTATCTGCCAGACGTTGTCAACACTGTGAAGAAAACATGCTGTATAAGAAAAATTGGAGCAAATAATTTATTAAAGTGCTTCATTTTCCTGTAGGTTTTTCATTTGAAACCTGGTTTGTCGCTCAGGAGTACTTTCCTTGCACAGTTTCTACTCGTCCTTCACAGAAAAGCCTTGACGCTAATAAAATATATAGAAGATGATACGTAAGTGAAACCACATGGAATGAAAACCTTTGTGCATTGTGTTTTGTTTTGTTCCTTTGGGACATTTTCTATATTTTTAAATATAATTTTTTTTTCTTCATTATTTATAGGCAGAAGGGGAAAAAGCCCTTTAAATCTCTACGGAATCTGAAGATAGACCTTGATTTAACAGCAGAGGGCGACCTTAACATAATAATGGCTCTAGCTGAGAAAATTAAACCAGGTTTACACTCGTTTATCTTTGGAAGACCTTTCTATACTAGTGTACAAGAACGAGATGTTCTAATGACTTTTTAAGTGTGTAACTTGTTAAGTATATTTCGTCACAATCATGACTGCTGCTAAAGTAGCTTGGTGGTATGGGAAACATCATTCCCTTGGGTCACACCCTAGAGCCCTGCTTGGCAATGCAGTTAGTTACACTACAGTTGTCACAAGCCTGTAAGAGGATGTCAGGTGTGTTGTTATGATGGATGCATCTTTTCCTAGATGTGCTATCCTGGGATACAGACTTAGGTTTACAGTCATAGTAAATGTTACTGCTATCTTTTAAAGATATAATAATGGAGTATAAACTTGACCACAGCTACTGTTGTTTGAAACTTACAATTCATGGTTTACATGTACCACAGTGAAATCTGAGTTAGTTTTCACAGATAAAATACTAGTTGACTTTTCATCTCTTGGTGTTCCTTGAACATAGGTTAAGTTTTAGGAAGACTATATTGATCAAGCAGATGTTTAATTCAAATCAATTATTAGATCCTACTTTATAGACTTAGTAGTCCTTAGGGTTCAGTCTGTGTAAAAACGTCATGCTATACATGTCGTCTGGATTGTGGTGAACTATAGCCAGCGGGTGTGTTTGTTTGTGTACTTGTTTGTTGAGCTCTGTCAAAGGAAAGAGAGGAAATTGGATTTTATGTTTTAATCGTTATTGCCAACTATTTAAATTAATTTTTATTATTTTTGAGCCAAATTGAAATGTGTACCTCCTATGCCTTTTTTTTCCTTGAAAAATATAATGACTTAGAAGAAGTTCAGATTACACTAGTCGGTCATTTTTATCTTATTTTCCTCTTGTAGATTCTCACCCTGATTTGGCAGTTGTGACTTCCGAGATTATAGAATGCAATAGAGAATGTACTAACTAGTAAGATCTTTTTTTCAGGAACAGAGAATATCTTGTCCTTTTCCTTCTTCTATTTCTGCCCATATTTTTTAAGTTGGCAGGTCTCTTTGCCTGCATCATGTGAGGAAAGCAAGAAAAACTTTACTGATGTGCTATTTTGCTAGGTGCTACTTGGGCAAAAACTAAGTGATCAATTTCTTTTGTTTCCTTAATGTGTTTGGACCATTTTGCTAGCTATAAAATAACTGATTAATATAGTTCTGCACTAGAATAGTTTTGACAGAATAGTATATACAAGCATCAAAAATATTTTTATTTAAAACTGTGGAAGCTACACAAAAGGGAAAAATATTTATAAGAAAGGGATAAAAGTGACAGAACCCCTCTGCTGTTGCTCACCAAATTGAACCAAAACCAACATGTTCTTTTCTGAAAGGTCCTAATTAGCCTTTCACATCACTGATTGGAAAGGTATAGACATCTTGATTTATAGACACAAATGGTACTGGATGACTGGCCCTCTGTGGCTTAGTCATGAAAGAATTACAGGTAGCACCTTGTTGTACCCCTTACTCAGTGCTTTCTAGGTGAGATGATATTAAGGAATACTGATTATTTTCTTTGCTGGTTTATTGTACTGTGATACAGAATGCAAGTTGTACAGTGAAATAAGTTATTAAAGCATGTATAAATATTGATATATGTCTTTTCTCCTAGATGGAGAATTTTGAATAAAATATCTTCAAAATTTTGTCTCTTAGCAATTATTTGTTCAGAAAAGCAGTGTTAGGATAATGAAAGACTGACAGTCTGTGTTGTATCTAAACTTTCTTACTTTTTTTTTTTTTAAGAGGTATTTGAAGGTTCCTTATAATGCCTGAAATCTTTATAATGCTCATTGTTTTTATTATATTTTTAACTTAATTAATGCTTAACTCACAGGATTGCAATTTGATTTTTAAATTAAATATTAACATTTCAAATGTAAGCTAATGCTTGGGTAATTTTTTTTTATTTCTGTTATAAAATATTACCATAACCTAAGCTGAAGTTATTTCCTTCAGGTATCCAGTACAGGTGTCCAAAATGAAAGTGCAAGGACTCTAAACCTTATAATATGGTAAACAAATTGCCATTTTTACTCCAGGAAAAAAATGTAATTCATAAATATAATAGTTGAGTTGAAAGGTTTTTTTAAAACTGATTCATCACATGCTAAGATTCTTTTTTTTTCCTCTGAAGATTTTATTTATTTTTTTGACAGAGATTACAACTAGGCAGAGCAGCGGGCTGGGGTGGGGGGGTGGGCAGGGAGCAGGCTCCCCGCTGAGCAGAGAGCCCGACACAGGGCTCACTCCCAGAACCCTGAGATCATGGCCTGAGCTGAGGGCAGAGGTTTAACCCACTGAGCCACCCAGGCGCCCCACATGCTAAGATTCTTAAAAAATAAAAACAAAAACTGAAACTTCCTATAATGCTGTAAAGCAAAAGTGAGACAGTGATTTCTGTGGTCTGTTTCCAAAATGTTGCAGGTTAAACAGGAGGATAGTGATTGTTACTCTCATGTAACACTGTTTTGGTTTTGAAGTGGAATTGCACAGTTGACGTTTCTCCTATGATCTGCAGGGTATAGCCTAAAGTCCCCCAATTACTTCATAGCCCACTGGACTTTCTCAATCCAACACCACAACACTATGAGGCCAGTATTATCATCTCCAATGTTACAAATGCAAAAACTAAAGCTTAAAGAAATATAATGTGCAGCCCATGGTCACTCAGCTAGTTATGCTGCATTTCATCCCAGAAAGTATAATAGTTGCCATGTACCACAGCACCTCGTACAGTTGCCCCATGTAGTAGGTACTCCATTGTTGAAATGAAGGGAAAGAGAAGAGGAATCCGCCCACTAGTCCTCTGCAGTGCCCAAGTGTGATTTCCCACTGGGTTGCTTGGAGAAGATACTTAACCTGAGGCTCATGTTTTAAATACTTGAAATGAGGATATTATGGTACCTCATGATTGTTAAAAGAGGATTTAATGAGACTGTCTAAGGGGCTTACATCACTATCTGACCAGAGCTTCATACCTGCTTTTTTATCCAATCTGAAAATAACCACCTTCTAATCAGGGTATTGTAGAACACTTATATTTAATGTGATTATTGATCTGGTTTGGGTTAAACTTACCATCTTATGAGTTGTTTTCCCTTTATTCTATTTTTTCTTTAGGGTTTGTGTGTGTGTGTTTTTCTTTTGTGTTGAGTATTTTTTATGATTCCATTTTATCTCTTGTTGGCTTTTTATAACTTATTCAGTCATTGCTTATTCAGTCAGTTTGGTAGACTCTATATATGTACACACACAGATGTATATAAAGATCTATACTATACTATATATACATCTTTACCTTCTCAGTCTTCATTCAAGTGATCTACTACTTGACATATAGTTGAAGAACTTTATAATAGTATACTTCCATTTCTCCCTTCTTACCTTTGTGCTACTGTGGCCTCACATTTTACTTCTACATATGCTACAAGCTCCATACTTTGTTATTATGATTTTTACTCAATTATCTTTTTAAAGGATTTAAGTACAAATATTCCAAATCAAAAGGTAGAAAGTGTTCTATTGAATAAAAAAACAAGACCTAACTATATGGTACCAACAAGACACACCTTAAAAATAAAGGACAGGGCGCCTGGGTGGCTCAGTGGATTAAAACCTCTGCCTTCCGCTCAGGTCATGATCCCAGAGTCCTGGGATTGAGGCCCACATCAGGCTCTCTGCTCTGCGGGGAGCCTGCTTCCTCTCTGCCTGCTTCTCTGCCTACTTGTGATCTCTGTCTGTCAAATAAAATCTTTTTTAAAAAAATAAAGAAAGAACAAACAAATGAAAAGGATGGAAAAATACACACCATACCAACACTAATCAAAGAAGAGCAGGAATGACTATGTTAATAGAAAAGCAGATTTCAGAGCAAAAAATATTACCAGGGATAAAGATCATTCCGTAATGCAAAGGGGTCAGTTCAGCAAAAGGACATAACAACCCTAAGTGCTTGTTTACCTAGTAACAGTTTCAAAATACGCAAAACAGGAACTGTAAGGAGAAGTAGACAAATGTACAATTAGAGTTGGAGATCTGAAGATCCTTCTGTCAGTGCTTCATGGAACAAGAAGACAAATATTAGAGCTACATTGTACAGAGGCTAAATTCTAATGAAGGACTTTAGAAGAAAAAAATCTATCCAAATCAGCAAGGACATAAAAGACTTGAACAAGACTGTCAACCTTTTTGGTGTGACATTTATAGAACACAGCAATAGTCCACAATAGATTACATATTCTTTTCAGGAGCACACGGAACACATACAAAGATACACCATGTTCTGGGCCATTAACAAGTGTCAATAAATTAAAAGGATTCAAGTCATACAAAATAAGTTATCTGATCATAATGGAATTACTACTTGAAAACTAGCACTTATAAAGGATTAGGGGACAAGGGGAAGTAGAATGGAAAGCAGAAAGGGAGGTATCAGTGTTTGTGGAATCATTTTTATGAATAGTGGAACACAGGAGCTATGTTGGAGAAGATATATACAATGCATAGATCTGACATAGATCTTGTATCCAGAATATAAAAAGAATTCCTACTTATTCAGAAGACAACCCAATTTTTTAAATGGGCAAAGATTTTAACATACTTCACACAAATGCATAAATGATCAATCACATAAAATCATGCCCAATATTAATCATCAGGGGATGACAATCAGAACTGCATTGGGTATCATTGCACAGGTAAGAATAGGTAAAGTAAAAGTTGATAAGTATTGGTGAAACTGTGGAGCAACTGGAATTTTCATACATTGCTGATAAGAGTATAAAGTAGTACAACCACTAAAAATAATTGGGCAGTCTTGTCAATTTCAGTACTGACTTGCCATATGATGCAGCACTTCCACTCCTAAATACTTCCCCAAGAGAAAGGAAAACATGTCAACACACAACTATTCATAGAAGCTTTATTCCTAAAAGTGCCAAAATGGAAACATTCCAAATGTCCCATCAATGAAAGAATGGATAAATTATAATATATAAAAATAATTACCCAGGAGTAAAAAGGAATGACCTGTTGAGATCCTTGGGTCAGTCAGGTCATGAACCTGGGGTCCTGGGATCAAGTCCTGCATTGGGCTCCCTGGTCAGTGGGGAGCCAGCTTTTCCCTCTTGCCTGTCACTTACCCTGCTTGTGCACTCACTCTCTCACTCTC